ATAGAGCGAGGCTCTGTCACAAAAAAAAAAAAAAAAAAAAAAGCCAATGAGTTGATGCAAATCCCAAAACACACTTTAAGGAAACTCAAGTGACCCAGAGAGGTCAAGCATCTTGCCCAGAGTCAGACTCCTTAGTGCCAGAGCTGGGCCTGGAAGCTGGTGAGCAGCCCATGCTCTTCATGGGCACTGCCCTCTACCCTGAACTCCCTGCCACCTCCCAGCCCTCTGCCATGGCACATACAGACTCACATCCAGAGAACTCAGTCTCCCTGTGTTCCCTTATATCTAGTTCCAACTCTGACCCTGATGGGCTGTGGATCTGCGGTGCTTTCACAGTGCCCTGATGGCAACTGACCTAATACGGGAGGTTGACCAAGATGACCACGAGCTGCTCTACAGCAAGCCACGGTGTTGGCAAGGTACAGGGGAGGAGGTTCTTTTTGTCCACTGTGATTTCACTGCTGTCCTGCCTGGGGCAGCGAACAGGTAGGGTGCAGCACTTTCCCAGCCCCAGGGCACTGCTGGGTCAGGAAGAACCCGCCTAGACCAGACTAAGCAGTGCTATTTCTAAACACCAGGAAGGAAACTGTCTCGGAGGTCACAAAGCAGCCAACAGACAAAGCTGACACAGGGGTCCTAAACCAGACAGATCTCTGGCCCAGCTCAAGAGCTGGGATATGTCCTGACACCAACTTCCTGTCCCACATCCAGTATCCCAGCAGTTCACTCAGTAGAGTGACAGATAGCACAGGGTAAGGCCTGGCTTGGGGACCCTCTGGGCTGCCTTCTCTGCCACGTTCTCTTCCTCTACAGCCGCCAACACAGTGCAGCCCACAATCCAATGCCATTTTTGTTTGGTTATTATTGTTACTTTTTCTTGAGACTCTTGTTGCCCAGGCTGGAGTGCAATGATGTGATCTCAGCTCACCGTAAACCTCTGCCTCCCAAGTTCAGCAATTCTCCTGCCTCAGCCTCCTGAGTAGCTGAGATTACAGGCGCATGCCACCACACCTGGCTAATTTTTTTTAAATTTTTTTAGTAGAGACCGGGTTTCACCATGTTGGTCAGGCTGGTCTCGAACTCCTGACCTCATGATCCGCCTGCCTCAGCCTCCCAAAGTGCTGGGATTACAAGCGTGAGCCACCACGCCTGGCT